TAAATTTTGGCTTACAACTTCATTTTCAAGATAAAATTTCATACAACCATTTCTCATTTGCACAAAAATTTAGTGAAATATGATAGAGGTTTCTAGGCTAGACTGTATTCACAATACAAATCTTTCCCGCCAGCCTGTAATGAATAGGTTATGTGCGAGTGGTATTGTGTCAGTAAATTTAGGGTTAGGATCTAACCAAAGAAACCTTACTTGTAAAATGTTGATTTTTACATGTTATTTCAACTTAAAAAATGCTAATTTATTTTCAAACTCTACTTAAATTTGAAAGGCTTACTTTAACCCTGAAGGTACCGTGAAAAAAATTGCAATTGGAAAAAAAATTTTCCCACTTGGGATTGTGAAGGACCTGCCTAGTATGGGCCAACAGGCCTTCTGCAGTGTTCCTCCTTTCTTATGTTCTTCTTGTATATTGTATACTAAAATCCAAAAAGGACACTATAAATCCCTTTCCTGCCTGTCATACAAAATTACATATTTTTAAAATTCTATATTGACAATTTAATTAAACAGTTCCAGGGAAGTAATGTCTGATACTATTTCCAATGTTGTGGGTAGGGATGATGGGCATCTCTTCTGCTGATGCGAGAGCACTATAGCCCTATATTTGACATGACTGTTATGGATATATCCAGGTGATTTGGTTATGTTTTTATGGTGAATGCACTTAGGTTAAACTTAGGTTAGGTTAGTTAAGCAGTGTTATTTCCTCTATAATGTGACATTAATGCTATCATGGTTACTGTTGAGGCACTAAAGTATTATCTGCTTACTGATAAAAGGGAATAAAAATAAAAAACAAGTCAATGAAGGTTATCTTACAACATTCAATGATTAACCTAATGTTAACTATTATAAAGTGGATGTTATGCCAAGACCTACATACAGTACAAAAATGCTATTGGGCCAATAAGCTCAGATGAGATCTATATTTTGACCTCTGATGACAAAAAATATGGAAATTACTGGCATATGCCTCATTTTTCTGTCCAAGTGATTTCACACTATCATCTATCAGCCAAGTGAATCTGATATTTCATGCCATGTCTGCTTAAATTTCAATGATTTTACATAACCTGATGAACCAATTAGTTTAATTTTGATTGCACAATATGGACTTTTTCACACTTATCATCTACCATGTTTTGCATATTAATAGAATAAAAGTACTGATGTTTTACACAAATAAAAACAACTTTAGAGCTTTACCTGACACATCATATTTGATCAGTTTTGATCTACAGTATATAAAAATAGAAAGATATAAAATGGCCACAATTGAACAAGATAATCAGAGAACTTAATATACAGGGTAAGTAACACCCCAATTTTTTATTGTTAATATGAAATTTGAAAAGCTGTTTACTGAAAATTGTCTTAGCAATGTAAGTACAGTAGTAGCAGTAGGTTTATAGACAGCACTCCACCAGGGAGGTACTACCCATCTTGCCATATAATTAAGTGTTAAATGGGATCCTGTAAAATGTTTTGTTCTGACAGGACTGCTGGTCTTTTCTTTCTGTCTCAGGAACATGAAATAGAAGGTAAATCTTAAAATTTCTATTTGCTTTCAGAACACAATTACTTTCTTGCATTATTTAATAGTTCTCATTCCTCTAGCGTTTCCTTTCCAATTTAGGAGGCCTGGTCAAAGATTGAGCTGTGGGTGGTGATGATCCTGAAACCATTAAGAGATACACGCCCCTATCTACCGCAATTCTGCAAATACCTGTACTGTATCTTATCTGTTATCGTTTATCTGTTAGTGGTTCTGGAAATTATCTTCCCCATGGCCCGGTCTCAGACCAGGCCTCCTAGGATAAAAAAGGAAATTTTACAGGATTAAAAAACTATTGTATTAAAAAGCACATGGGAAAGTAAAGGTATTGTTATAATGAATGTAAGCATAAGTTTATAAGATTTACCTATCCTCTTACATATTCATGAGGTAGAAAGAAAAGATCAGCAATCTTGCCAGAGTAAAAAAAAAAAAAAAAAAAAAACAGGTTTTTCCCCTTCACATCATTTGACTTCCTTTAGTTGGTTGCTGTCTACCAGTCTACTACCTGGAATGCACTGTTTGGCAGAATGAAAGTGTGACCACCACACACCTCTGACTAAGCTGAAGTGAGGGCTGGCTAAGAAGCATATCTGTAATATATGTCAGATAGGGCCCAAACAAATTATCAGTACAGTATTATACTTTATTGGTTTATCCTAAGTTAATATACATATAAGTTACTATACAAGACCATTGTAAAAATTTAAAATAATAACCTGCTTTTAATTATACGTCATGTTGTGCATTTACACCACGTGTTGAAATTTTAACAACAATAAGTGTGATCATGCAAAAGAAGAAATAAACTTTGCCCAAAAAATATTAACCCAGGAGGGTTACTAAACCAAGAATGCCCTCACTGTGGCTTTTTTTCTTTGATGTCTTTTTTTGGTCCTTTTCCCCAGGATGCAACCCCCTAATAGATAAAAAACTTTCAAGTACCTATGTACTGCAAGGTAATTTGGGCCAGGAATAAGTAGTTTATTCAGGTACAGGCGGCCATCACTAATCGGGGAAACAGTTATTCGGTTCCATCAGTAATCCGGTACTTAATTTCGGCTAGCATAATTTCAAAATTTCATCATTATACTGACTCAGAAAATTGTGCCCGATGGTTGTTAAATCCCCAGCAGAAAGCCAGAAAGGGGAAAGCAGTGATGGAAAAGAAGGATTAACAGAAAGTCTCTCTATTGATAGGTTAATGAGTGTATTCTAACCTAACCACTCTGTAATCCGGCAAACTCACTAATCGGCACACTACAGGTCCCCAATGATGCCAGATAAGTGATGGCTGACCTGTTTAGTTTCACAAATCAATTACATACATTATCATACATAGCAGCGTATGTGTAGATTACCTAGGATAACTCAAAAAAGTCAGACAAAGTAACTTATTTCTATTGAGGTGTTGTAATATCTTATTTTTGAAACCTTAAAAAATAAAACAGCTAAGTGACTTAACTATGTGAAAAGCAGTTACAATAGATGTGATAGGAATAAGGTAAACTGAGTTATTTACACTTTCATATATAATAATTTTGGAATTACCTGGACTATATCTGAAGAGGGTTTCGAGGGTCACTATCCCCATGGCCCGGTCTGTGACCAGGCTTCATTGTGGATCAAGGCCTGATCAACCAGGCGGTTACTGTTGGCCGCACGCAACCTGATGTACGAACCACAGCCCGGCTGGTCAGGTACTGACTTTAGGTGCCTGTCCAGCACCTTATGTATGCTGGGAGGCAGTTGAACACTCTTGGGCCCCTGACACTTATTGTGTTGTCTCTTATCATGCTAGTGGCACTGCTGCTTTTCATTGGGGGAATGTTGCAGCATCTGCCAAGCCTTTTGCTTTCATAGGGAGTAATTTTCGTGTGCAAGTTTGGTACTAATCCCTTTAGGATTTTCCAAGTGTATATAATCATGTATCTCTCCTGTCTGCATTCTAGGGAATACAGGTTGAGGTTAGTGTTCCCAGTAACTGAGGTGTTTTATCGCAGTTGTGTGTGCCATGAAGGTTCTCTGTACGTTTTCTAGGTCAGCAATTTCACCTGCCTTGAAAGGTGCTGTTAGTGTGCAGCAATATTCCAGCCTAGATAGAACAACTGACCTGAAGAGTGTCATCATGGGCTTGGCATCCCTAGTTTTGCTAAAATTATTATAATAATTTTTAGCGCTGAACTCAAAAGGGTCATAGAGCACTGCAGGGAGGGATGGGCAAAAGTAGGAATGTGCGAAGGGTAAGTGTGAAGGGCAGTTATGGAAATTGTAATTATTCAAGATGAAATACAAATTACAGTATTATACATGCATTGTAATTAAAGAATTAAACTACCTATTATAGTCTTGAATTATTATATATTTGAATTATTAGAATATTCAAGGGGATATGTTAAACTTCTAGGGGTTAGTAACTTTGGTAAATAGAGATAATCAGGTTAGAACTGTGGGAGTTGGGTAACTCCCATGACTTGGATCAAGAGCCCTTCACCAACATCAAGGCACCAACAGGGATATAATCCCATGAAGGAGAATTAGGCAATGCTCTCTCTTCACACGTTGAGTGTCCGTAGTTCGATCCCCGGCAAGGGTAGAAACACTGGGCTTGTTTCCTTAAACCTTTTGTTTCTGTTTACCTAGCAAGCAAGTAGGTACCTGGATGTTAGTCAACTGGTGTAGGTTGCATCCTGGAGAACAAGACTGAGGACCCCAATGGAAAAAAGACAGAGAGTCCCTAGATGACGAACTGCTTTTCTTGGGTTATCCTGGGTGGCTAACCCTCCGGGGTTAAAAATCCAAACAAAATCATATCTTATCCCTGAAATGCCTAGGCATGCTAGAGGCCTTCCTTGTAATTAATATTTTACAATATGCAAACAATACATTGTAAGATTTGCAAGGAAGCAAACATTTATTATTATTATTATTATTAAGACGACCCCAAAGACCTCAGCTGAAATAACTCACTTTCTTTGACCTTCTTGGGTCATCCTATGTTAATTTACACATACGATATGTATGACAATTGCAACCATCCAAAAGTTGCCTAACTGTACCTAAATAAACTTATTTATACATATTAGTGAAGGAAGTTACTGTAATCCCACTGAATTTTGTTTATCGTAGCTCTCCGCGATTACCCTTCGTAACTCATAGTTTTTCTCACATTTAGAATACTTAAAAAGCTATATATATATATAAAATTAACCAATGGGTAAACCAATATAAGCTTCCTGAGTGATGATTTTAACAGCAATATACTTACGTGGCAAAAGATGGGTTCCATCTAACCTGGAATAATAATGACCAGTTTTTCCTCTCCCACCCCCCTATTCAGAGTAGAAAATGATACTTACGGGCACAACACCTTAAAGTAACTAATGCAAGCCTATTAAAAACGTGTGGCACGATTCATACTGACCATAAAACATACATTTATTGTTTGTTTTGCTTCAGAGATGCTTTGACGTGTCTGAGGTGACGTTCGTGAGCCGCCATGTGCACTCTGACGTCACTAACATGATGCCTTTACTTTCTTTATTATAATTATTATTAGTAGTAGTTATTGATGTAATAGTAAGTAAGTTTATTCAGGTATACACAAATACAGTTACATAGATTATCATACATATCAGCATATGTATAGAGAACCTAGGATAACCCAAAAAAGTCAGATTAACTTATTTCCATTGGGGTACTTTTAATACCTTATTATACTAGAAAGGAGATAGTATCTTATTATTATACTATAAAGGAGATATGCTAGGAATAAGGTAGAATGAGTTATTTATATTTACAAGTGTGTTAGCTAAAAAAAATAAAAAATCATTCTCCTCCCTTTCTGTCGCTACATTCATTAGGCACCCTTTGGCACTCTTCTTGAACTGGTTCATGCTATGACTGGCTTTGACATTTGCGGGTAATCTGTTCCATTCCTTTACTGTTGTACAATAAAAGGTGCTTGAAGCCTGGCCACTGACAGAACACAGAGAGTAGTCGTCAACAGAGTAAAGTCCGAGGCAGCTACGGTGAAAAGCTCTGTTCCACAAGGCACAGTACTAGCTCCCATCTTGTTCCTCATCCTCATATCCGACATAGACAAGGATGTCAGCCACAGCACCGTGTCTTCCTTTGCAGATGACACCCGAATCTGCATGACAGTGTCTTCCATTGCAGACACTGCAAGGCTCCAGGCGGACATCAACCAAATCTTTCAGTGGGCTGCAGAAAACAATATGAAGTTCAACGATGAGAAATTTCAATTACTCAGATATGGTAAACATGAGGAAATTAAATCTTCATCAGAGTACAAAACAAATTCTGGCCACGAAATAGAGCGAAACACCAACGTCAAAGACCTGGGAGTGATTATGTCGGAGGATATCACCTTCAAGGACCATAACATTGTATCAATCGCATCTGCTAGAAAAAATGACAGGATGGATAATGAGAACCTTCAAAACTAGGGAGGCCAAGCCCATGATGACACTCTTCAGGTCACTTGTTCTATCTAGGCTGGAATATTGCTGCACTCTAACACACCTTTCAAGGCAGGTGAAATTGCCGACCTAGAAAATGTACAGAGAACTTTCACGGCGCGCATAACGGAGATAAAACACCTCAATTACTGGGAGCGCTTGAGGTTTCTAAACCTGTATTCCCTGGAACGCAGGAGGGAGAGATACATGATTATATACACCTGGAAAATCCTAGAGGGACTAGTACCGAACTTGCACACGAAAATCACTCACTACGAAAGCAAAAGACTTGGCAGACGATGCACCATCCCCCCAATGAAAAGCAGGGGTGTCACTAGCACGTTAAGAGACCATACAATAAGTGTCAGGGGCCCGAGACTGTTCAACTGCCTCCCAGCACACATAAGGGGGATTACCAACAGACCCCTGGCAGTCTTCAAGCTGGCACTGGACAAGCACCTAAAGTCAGTTCCTGATCAGCCGGGCTGTGGCTCGTACGTTGGTTTGCGTGCAGCCAGCAGCAACAGCCTGGTTGATCAGGCGCTGATCCACCAGGAGGCCTGGTCACAGACCGGGCCGCGGGGGCGTTGACCCCCGAAACTCTCTCCAGGTAAACTCCAGGTAAACTGACTGTAGATACTACAAAGTTGTGTTCTTTCCCCCTAGTACTATGATTGCTTTGGTTCCCAGCTTTGACAAAATTGGCAGCAAGATATTCTGGACACTGTTTGTAGTAGTATAAGTAGTAGTAGTTGCAGCTGTAGTAGTAGTAGTAGTAGATGCAGTAGTGGTAGTAGTTGTAGGTGTAGTAGTCATATAATATTATTATTATAATTATTATTATTATTATGATTATTATTATGGTTTGTATAATACACCGGCCGTCTCTCATCAAGGTAGGGTGACCCAAAAAAGAAGGAACACTTTCACTGTGGAAAATACTGTATATATTTTCCAGAAATACAGTAGTTATATGTAAATAGATGGCCATACTGTATTTAAAAGAATTATATTATGGAAAATGGGAAACTGGACCTGCGCCTGCGCAGACCGGAGAGTCGCCATTGTTAATTTGAATTGGATACAACGTTAGTGCAATGGGAAGGAATTTTCGTGCTCTAGAGGTTATAATTGGGCTGACACCTCTCAAATAGGAGGCGAAATTGTTGGATGTGCATTCCTGCATAACTTGAGATATCAGACGACTGGACAAGACAGCTCCAGGAACCTCAGATAAGTCTTATGTAGTAACCTGGCCAGTGTTATTTTCATAGATAGACAGTGAGGTTTTCTGAGTATGATACAAGTTAATCTCTAGTTAAATTGGTGAGTGATATTAATGTGGAAAATACTGTATATATTTTCCAGAAATTCAGTATTTATATGTAAATAGATGGCCATACTGTATTTAATAATATTTATGTCATAGAAAACGGAAAACCTGCGTCTGTGTAGAAGGAGACTCGCCATCTTGGGTTTTGAATTTGTATTAGAAACGTTGTAATGGGAAGAATTTTTCGTGCTCTAGAGGTTAAAATTGGATTGACACCTCTCAAATAGGAGGCGAAATTGTTGGATGTGCATTCCTGCATAACTTGAGATATCAGACGACTGGACAAGACAGCTCCAGGAACCTCAGATAAGCTCTCTAGATTTGTGTATAATTCTGGCCAGCATTATTTTCATAAATTTAGTTAGTGAGGTTTTTCTGAGTATGATACCACTTAATATCCAGTCAAATTGGTGAGTGATATTAAGATATATTTTCCTTCTGTTATGTATATGCGCAGGGCCGGATTACCGCATAGGCAAACTAGGCATTTGCCTAGGGCCCCGCGCATTTGGGGGCCCCGCAGTCCAAGGGGTTCAGGGGCTCATCCAAGACTGCGCACATGGTGCAAGTGCAAAGGGGTCCCTACCTAAAAAGTTCAAGTGTTTGTAGAGTAAAATTGATTTTTAAAAAATAATCAAAACAAAAATAAATAGTGAAATAAAATAAAATAAAAATAAATAAACCTAACCATAGATGGTAACACTCAACACGCCTTTGTTTACATCAGAACAGCTGTGTTTTCCCGCTAATGGGTGAGTATGGGAGATTCCTCTCCAATTTTCTGTAGTAATTACACGTTATCTAGACTTGTACTGTGACAAATTAACTGAAGTGTTGTTGATAGACATTGATGTGTATGGATAAATGTTTGTTTTCGCCTTTAAATGTTAAGGGAGGTACCTGATAGGGTTACTTGACCAGTAAAGACGCATGGACCAGTAAAGACGCATTTTTGGTAAAAATACTATAAAGAAAAACCTAAAAACGCAAACTGACTTCCGTTTGTAGGTTTTAAAAGCACTTTGTCCTGTCTTTAAGTCTTTATCATTTCAATAACAGATCTCAATTGATTGATGTTCTACATCACTTCCGTCGCAAATGCTTAGTTTTCAAGTTGCGATGGAAGTGATGTAGAACGTCAATTAATTTACTACATATTTCCCCAGAAACACATAAGCCACATCAGAAAATCGTTGGTTGGGTGAAACTGAAAATTGTCCTGCATTCTTTAATTCTCATGTCCTTATCTATGGTGGTAGGCCATATATCATGCAAAACATAATGATTAGTTTAGTTATGAAAATGGTAATATAAATACCATTGTGCATTGTTCTTGGACTCAGTATGATTTCTGTTTAAGTAAATTGGAGATCAAGGAGGATGAATTAATAAAATATTCGTAGCCCAAATCACTAACCTAATCTATGGTAAAAGTTCTGTATATGACTCCTTTCTGGTAACGTTTTGAATTTTTAGATGCGCAGCCAGAGGAAAGGGGGCTACAAGGGCCATATCCCCCCAATTGACAGAAATTTTTTTTAATAATAATTAAAAAATTAATAATTGATAATGAAAAATTTGTATTTGCATGATTACAGACAGTGATACATCCTCATTATGGCATCTCGTGAACGTGATGTTGGACGTTCTTATGCGAGTGGGTCACAGAAAAGAAAGAAGAAAATTCAAGAAGAAGAACAGAAAAAGAAAGATGTAGGAAGCTGCAGAAAGATCACAGACATGCTCACGAAAACAGTTTCTGATGTTACCAGTACAGTTGAATATGCAGATACGTCAGATCATACAGGAAGCCCTCCCTCCATTATTTCTCAGCCAGCATCTACTTCTTTTGTGTCTCCTCTCAATGTCTCAACGGACATTTCATCCACAGGATTTGTCTTAAAAGATCCTGCCTCATGGCCAAATGTAATCTCAGATTCTCTACGTAATGCTTTCATTGCAGAAAACTTCAGTCAAACTCTGAACATTGACTTTAGGAAATCAGCAAGGGTTTATGATGATGGAAGTCGTCGTTGTTTAAAGTCATCTGTGTTTTATAGGAAGCTTGCAAATTCAGAAACTGTGAAAAGATCATGGATGGTATACTCTGAAAGCTCAGGAAAAGTGTACTGTTCAGCATGCAAGCTATTTTCTACCAAAGAAAATACCTTCACACAGGGGTTCAATGACTGGAAAAATTCCAAGCGTTTCGAGGAACATGAAAACAGCACCACTCACAGGAGCTGCATTTTAGCCAGTGTATTTCGTGCACAGAAAAAAAGGCTTATTGGATTCTCATTTGGAAAATCAAACTGAAAAAGAGCGCACTTATTGGAGAATAGTTCTAGAAAGAGTTGTTGCTGTTGTAAAATTCTTAGCTCTAAGAGGACTTGCTTTCCGTGGAGAAAATGAGATTTTTGGTTCGGAAAACAATGGCAATTTCTTAGGGATCATAGAACTGTTAGCACAATTCGATCCATTCTTAGCAAATCATGTGTCACGCCTTGGGAATGCAGGAAGAGGCACTGTATCTTACATGTCATCTACTATATGCAATGAATTTATTGAACTGATGACTAAGAAGGTCCTCAATAACACCATAGCAGCTGTGAAAACTGCAAAATACTTTGCAATAAGTGTAGATTCAACAACACAGATATTTCACATACAGATCAATTGACATTCATTGTTC